TTCAAAAGAGGCAAGTTTTTATGCTCCTTCTTGTCTATGCCTTTTTCTGCTGGGATTACATATGTTTTACATTTAGCCATTGAACTCAATTCTTACAAAGGAGCACACTCATTTACTGGTCTATTTTTCCTTCTCACTGCCTAGGTAAGACCCATGCTTGAACAGTTGCAGGACTTTCTTTCTGGCAATGGGTGGCAAAAGCAGGATTATGAGTTCAAAGGAATTCTCAAACTGCTCACTGTAAGAAAAGCCTAGGTTACGGAAGACATTGCTCTAAACAGAAATAAATAATCAACATAACTTGAGAAAACAAGGAAGAAATTCTTAATGACCTAGAAGCAATGGAGAACAGAAAGAAATAAGAAAGTAGAACAAGGATAAATGTAAAGGAATTCAAATTTAAAAACTGAAACTCATAATTATTTTTAAAAAACAAATATAACTGAAAAAAGCACATAGCTAAATTGACTTTGCAAAAGAGAAAATAATTCTCTGGCAGAGGGAATGGCATTCATAAGATATTAATTTACCCTATGCTTATATGTAATGTTAGCTACTGAGACCTGTCACCTGAAATATGCAGTTACAGCTAATGGATGGAACAATGAGAGCAAGGTTGAACATATCTGTATATGAGAGCACCTTTTTAGAAATTCCATATTAATTGGTTCTATTAACCTCCACATTGTATACGGAAATCTGGCCTGATTTCATTTATATGGCATGGATCAATACATGCTGGGAAAAACAAAATCCCATAACCATCTAGAATCATACTATGTTTCATAATGGTGACTCTACAACTGTTTGCCTTCACTGTTTCCCCTAAAGTGTACACAGTAAACTATTCCACCTATTATGGTATGAAGGCAAAAACCATGCTGCACACACAAATCCTATTTCTATTACTGAAATGGATACATGACTCAGATTTGTAATTTTATAACTGAGTGATGATTGAGTTCTTTACCCTAAGAATTTAGTTGGTTTAATCATGAGGAGAACAAGCTCATTTCCGGGGAACAATGGAGTGAGATCAATGCCACATGATCCAACATAAGAACTTTTGGTTCAGAAACATTTTGTTACAGCTGGAGATACTGATGTTCAAGAATAATATGCCTTCATCTGCTTAAATCATTTCACAAACTTAAAAGTTGAATAAACAAAATCTCTGTAATAACACCAGGCATCTGGGGTAGTTAATTTTAAAATGAGGAGCCAGGCTGGAACAGATTTTGCATTCCACATAAGTTATCATCTTGAAGTCTGTTTTGGAGTCAAGCCCAGGGTTATACTGTGAACAATTTAAAATGGGATGGGAGAACCCAGTCGGTAGTGGTACAAACCTTTAATCCCAGCATTCATGAGGCAGAGGCAGGTGATCTCTGTGACTTCACGACCATCCTAGGCTGCAAGAGCAAGTTTCAGGACAGGACACAAAGCTACAGAGAAATCCTGTCTTGAAAAATGAAACAAAACAAAAAACTAACGAATGAAAAATGGGACATGAGAAGGCATGTCTAACCACTTATTCAGATGGAGATTTACAAAGCATTACTACCTTTTTTTTAAGATTTATTTATTTATTATGTATACAACATTCCTTCCATGTATGCTTGCATGACAGAAGAGGGCACCAGACCTCATTACAGATGGTTGTGAGCCACTATGTGGTTGCTGGGAATTGAACTCAGGACCTCTGGAAGAGCAGTCAGTTCTCTTAAACACTGAGGCATCTCTCCAGCCCACCTTCTTTTTTTTTTTTAGGTTTTTCGAGACAGGGTTTTTCTGTGGCTTTGGAGCCTGTCCTGGAACTAGCTCTGTAGACCAGGCTAGTCTCGACCTCACAGAGATCTGCTTGCCTCTGCCTCCCGAGTGCTGGGATTAAAGGCGAAAACTATCTTTTTGATAATTCATGATGATCAGAAATTCAAAAAGAACCAAGTCTAAGTTAGTTTCTGGTGCTATCGATTTTTTATTTCTTCTGGGTCACCAAGCCTGAGTAAAAGATGAACTTATTATACCAGCCTTTCCCACATGACTGTTATTAATGACATGTTCATGAGGCTGAATAGAAGATCAGCACCTAGAACACTGAAGACTCATCCACAGGGCCTAACATGGAGATTTACTACCCACAACTGTCTGTACCTCCAGTTGCAAGGGATTAGACACCATCTTCTGGTCACCACTGGTACCTGGGATACCTTTCATATATTCACTGGTCAAACTTTTATATCTAAATTCAATTTCATTCTTTTCTAAAATATGAGACAAACAAAAAATACCTACTAAAATAAAGAGTCAAAGAGATACATGTCCTTTCAGCATTTACATATCTGGTGCCCTAGGAGACCAGAATAAGACACCAGATATTTAATGTCTGCAATGACAGGGAGTTCTGATCAATCAGGTGTGGTGCTACGACTTGAACTTGGGTACCAAAGAGGATCAGTACTCCTGAGACAACTCTCCTGTTCCCACATGTGTCATTACAAAGCTGAAGGTGAAGATGTCCCACTGTTCCTTCTGTCTCATTGCACTTGAAGGATCTAAATGTCCTCTAGACGGTTGTCAAATGATTTCATGGACTGAATGTTAATGGAATTTCAATACTGTTTATGGTTATTGTTATCACAGTTCTTTTTTATGTAAGTGAAGATTAAAAAAAAAGGTTGGTTGAAATCAGTCTGAGTCCAGCCTGATTTTATTAGCAAAAAAGTTCCATAGTTTGAGATAGGCTTTTTTTTTTGGAATTTTTGAGACAGAATACCTCCACATAGCATGGAGGCCAGGAATTTATTATGGGGAACTAGCTGGCCTCACTAAGATCAGTTGACCCACACTCCTGTGTGCTGTAATTATAGCCATATACCTATAAGTCCAGTTGAAATATGTGTTTTAAGGACTTCTCATTGAATCATAGAAAGAAATAATAAAATAATATACAAAAAGGAGCATCATTGTTCTGATGAATAGCAATGTTTCTTGAAGTTCTATAATTTAAATGACCAAATCATTTCACATGCTCTCAATAATGGGTTATTTTTATTGTGTTGTTAATTCCATCCACTTAAAAATGTTTGAAGTGTGACTGTGGGAATACACCTGTGTCGTGATGTGTATGTAGCACTGACAGGAAAACTAACAGGGGTCTATGATCTACTTCTGCTGTGTGAGTTCTAATGATTAATCCTATGGAGACATTTGACTACAAAAGACCTAAATGGCACTTCTTTGGGTTTAAATATTATTCATGAATGTACTCTTAGAGAAGTGTCTATGTGTCACTGCTGAAGTGAAAAAATGTAAGAAAATTTGTAGAAGTATTGTATATAACCCAGAGTATTGTATATAATACCAGGTCATCAGACTTGGCAGCAATGAGCTATAACTTTACTAAATGAGACAATTTTCTGGTGTATAGTTTTGGTCCTGAGGAAGTGTTATAAATAAATGTCTACTCTTCAAAATGAACAAATTTTTCTGTTGTAATATTTTTTTCACATTTAATTTGAGCACCAGTGAAATGGCTCAGTGGGAAAGCACTGTTGTGAGCAAGACTAAAAACCTTACCTCAATTCCTATAGAACATCAAGCTATGGAATTTCATATACAGATGTTTGCTGATTTTCATAAATTATTATATCCATATCAGATAAATGGAAATACTTCGTTGAATACACACATGAGGTATTTAAATTTCTCATAATTTTTATCAGGTATTTTAACTGATAAAACATTGGTGTATTATAACTGATAACATTGTTAAATTCTCTTGAAATCACAGTACATTGGGTGTACATCATCTATCCTTGGATTTGTACTCAAGAGTAAGACAAATGAGCATCATGAGATCAAATGTATCCCTGAATCATTACTGACATAATAAGACAAATATCAAACAACAAAATTTCAATGAAATTTGTGAAAAGATGAAAATCAAAACCGGAAACACAATCCACCACCATTATGTGAAAAGTGTGATTGAGTGTGGCCTGATATTTCAATAACCAATGGGAAAATTATATGATAGGGGCTCCATTATATACATTACAGAAGAAGAATACCTATCACATTGTACAGGCACAACAGAATATGAACAAAAGTCATAGAAGGAATATAAGGTCTACAAAATAAACTTCACTAAATGAGTTTGCCACACATACAGCAAACTCTAGTGACTACCTCAAATGTTTAAAAATAGAAACCACAATGCAATTATCTCCTCCATCAGTCTTGACAAAACATGGTTTATAGTTTACTTCCTCCAAGGCTATGATGAAAATAATTTATTTTGAACCTGAAGAAATCTGTGATGTTTAAACGCATTAACATTTTTTTCATGAATAGGAATTTCTTCTTTATGAGCTTGTTTCAATTTTAGTCTTAAAATTGATCTAAATAGAATTTAAAACACTAGAGTAATGGTTACTTGACTAACTGAATTTATTCACAGAGTTTCAATGCAGTATGATATTTTTATGGTTTTGAAGCCTACATTCATTAAATTCATACTTTCTCTCCTGAATGGTTGATTGTGACAAAGGATTTACCACATCGATTTCAATCATGGTTGTTCTCACATACAGGAGATTATGCATTTAATGATGAATAAAATATAAAAAGGCTTTATCACACTGATTACATCCATAATGATTCTTACTCTTTTAAGCCTTTGAACATTACTGTGATCTGCAAAGGCTTTACACACTGAATACATCAATGGGGTTTCTCTCTTTTGTATGTTATTTTATGCCTTTAGAGATCAGTATGTTGTTCAAATGCCTTACCACAATGATTACAATCAAAGAGTTTCTATCTACGATGAGATCTTTGATGCCTTTTAAGATTATTGTGAGCTACAAATTTCATATCACACCGATTACATTCATAGGGTTTCTCTCCAGTATCTGTTCTTTTATGACTATGAAGTTGATCATGTGCTACAAAGGCCTTCTCACACTGAATAAATTCAGAGTTTCTATCTAGGGTGAGAATGTTTATGCCTTTGAAGATGACTGTTCGTTGCAAAGGCCTTACCACACTGATTACATTCATATGGTTTTTCTCCGGTGTGTGTTCTTTGATGACTTTGAAGATTACTGTGTTGTACAAAGGCCTTACCACACTGATTGCATTCATAGGGTTTCTCACCAGTATGTATTCTTTTATGCCTTTGAAGATGAATGTTCGTTGCAAAAGCCTTACCACACTGATTACATTCATAAGGTTTCTCTCCAGTATGTGTTCTTTTATGGCTTTTAAGATGATTGTATTGAGCAAAGGTCTTACCACACTGAGTACATTCATAAGGTTTCTCTCCAGTATGTGTTCTTTTATGGTTTTGAAGAGTACTCTGAGCTGCAAAGGCCTTACCACACTGATTACATTCAAATGGTTTCTCTCCAGTATGTGTTCTTTTATGCAATTGAAGATGATGATGACGTGCAAAGGCCTTACCACACTGAGTACATTCATAGGGCTTTTCACCAGTATGCATTCTTTGATGGTGTTGAAGAGTTCCCTGAAATGAAAAGGCCTTACCACATTGATTACATTCATATGGTTTCTCTCCAAGATGTGTTCTTTGATGGTTTTTAAGATTACTCTTAGCTGCAAAGGCCTTACCACACTGATTACATTCATATGGTTTCTCTCCAGTATGTATTCTTTGATGACTTTGAAGATTACTGTGTTGTGAAAAGGCCTTACCACACTGATTACATTCATATGGTTTCTCTCCTGTGTGTGTTCTCTTATGGGATTGAAGATGACTGTGAGCTGCAAAGGCCTTGTCACACTGATTACATTCATAAGGTTTCTCTCCAGTATGTGTTCTTCCATGGTATTGAAGAGCACTGTACCGTGCAAAGGCCTTACCACACTGATTGCATTCATAGGGTTTCTCTCCAGTATGCGTTCTTCCATGGTATTGAAAAGCACTGTACCATGCAAAGGCCTTACCACACTGAGTACATTCATAAGGTTTCTCTCTAGTATGTTTTTTTTTATGCTTTTGAAGAGTACTGTGATCTGCAAAGGCCTTACCACACTGATTACATGCATAGGGTTTCTCTCCAGTATGTGTTCTTTCATTCCATTTAAGGTGACTGACATGTGTCAAGGGTTCACCTTGTTGAATATCTACTGAAAGTTTTTCTTCAGCTTGAATTCTTTCAATCCTGCAAGGATAATTGGCACATATAAAAGCTTTACCACATTCAATACAGTGTTGTGCCTAGACATTTGTATAAATTAATTTTATAATATAGTCCAACTATAAAGAGGAATCAGATACTATGTTTCTATAACTGTGTCTAAACTTATGTTTTGCCATCTAATTAGACACTTCTTTGCAACTTGGAAGATACCTCCAATGGTAAATTCCTTTCTTTCATGGCTTACCATTTTACCTTCCATGAAACTTTTTTCTATAGGATATTTTATACATGTGTGAAGAGAAATGGATAAACACAGAGCTTTAACATTCATGAATTCTCCTATACTGTGAATCATATGGCATATACTATGTCAACTAGCACACCCAGAACTATTTGCACAGTTGTAGAAGTTGTACGGCTTTTTTGCAGTGTGAGTTTGTTCATGTATTAATGATGGTGGAAAAACAATTAATGGTATACTTGAATCAAATTCAGCAAGTATACTCAACATGTGGCTACTAGTTATCTGATTGTTCTTAGAGAGTGGTATGCTACATCTCTCTATATCCCCATGCTCATACACTTGTATCAAGAATAATGTATGGTATACTTAGTAAAGAAGAATAACAAATAAGAGATTTCCACATTGAATTCTCAGGTTTTGAATTGCTGTTCCTCGCAGACTGGTGGTATTGATATCAGGGTTTCTGTAGTACAACTGCCACATGACTCAACTCTAACTGCTTCTATCACTAAACTTATCACAGTCACAAGAGGTATCTGAGTAATACAAGATTTACTATGGGCTGTTATTTTGTTTTACAAAGTTTTGCAGATATACTTATCATCTTCAATGTGTATACCTTTTGTATTATGAGTAGCAAAAAAGAAATTTAATTGCAGATCTACAACAAAGCTCTCATGGTGCTATGCCTCAAAAGGTGATTTTTTTAGCCATTGCTTTCTTAAAAGAAGGTAATTCAAATGATATTCACATATATGACTTATGGATTTGTGAGAATTTGATAAGTGTCAGCGCACTTAAAGCTGTGCTTATTTACAGTGTAGCTTTAGACTAAAACTTTCAGGATGAAGAAAACTTTCATTAGAGGCACATTGTTATAAGCTTGCACAAGAAAATTACCTTTCATGTCTTCTAGAACATGGACAATGTTCTTCAGTGTTATGGTCTTCCCAAATGCATCCTAAAATATAATACCAGAAAATGTATGTTATGTTATTGAAAATTGTGCAATGTTTAAGCTGTTATCTTAAGTGACCCTTAGAACCATAACTGCTTTATCCAACTCATTCTTATTGTTTTTAAATAAATTACTGAAGAACATTATTAACCAAGAAAAAGTTGTCCATTTAGTTTGAAACATAAAGGAAATTCATTTTTACCTATAGTAGTGAGGTTCCTGTAGGTCTCAAGCATCACATCTTTGTAGAGATTCTTCTGGGAAGGATCCAGCAAATTCCACTCTTCTCGAGTGAAGTTGATATGCACATCATCATAGGTCACTGCCCTCTAAAATATTTCATTCATGTTTATAATGGAAAGCAGAAAGGTGACAACATTGTAAATCAATACATCTTTGACAGTATAGTCATAAAATTCTAGTGTTCCCCACTATTATTACATGACACAGATAATCACTTTAGAAGGAAATTGATTAGAAGTCACCACTGTCATTTCTTTACTGTTTGAATGGGATATCACCTTACAAAAGAACTTCCTATTCATAGAGAGAACCAAGGAAACAGATAAACAGGACATAGTACACTGAGAAAATTATATGAAGAAATACTAATTACAAAAAAGAAAAACACAGTGGGCAAAGTGGGTGTATTGACTCATGCCTTTAAGCACAGCACTCAGAAAGCATAGTTGTGTATATTTTGTCTCTGAGTTGAATGCCAGCCAAGTCTATGGAATCATTTTTAGGACAGGTGGAAATACACAGTAAGACCCTAACTCTATTGCAAAAATCAGGGAAACAAACAAATCAGATTGAAAGAATTCAGAGATATTTACTGAAGTTCCTACAATGAATTATGCATTCACTCCATATCTGTATTCATAATACAGACAGCTAAAGTTTCCTATTTTCAACTGCAATACCAAAAACATTTTATGAAAAGCTACTTCATGTTCAAAATAATTACAAGTTGACAGGTGAAAATATTAGCTATATAAATGTTGGGCATAACAAGTTAACACAGATCTGGAAATATGGCTGAGTACTTCTGAGCTCTTCCTGGTCTTGAAAAGAGGTGGGCACAATTAACAGTACTTACATGGGGATCACAACTACTTATTATTCCAAGTTCAAAATTTCTGAGAAGCTTTGATCACTCCAATAACCGAGTACCCATATGGTTCATATCCTTGCAGACACATAAAATAGTCAAATTGAGTGAAACATTAACAGCAAGCACAACAAGCAGAAAGAAGTTCATGCACCTGCAATTCAGTGACTCAGAATGCACAGGCAGTATTAATGTCATGGATACATGGAATCCTGGGAATCAGAATGATACCCTCTGTCAAATTTAAAATTCAAGATATGTGTGAAGCTGAGCACAGCAGCGTATGCTTGTCATGTAAAAAGCCTACATTCCAGGGTCATCATCCAACAACATAAAAACAAATAAAGCCATGAATGAAGTCCCCCTCCCTTTAATTTCAGGAATTTGGAGCTACACAGCAAAGGTTACTCAGACAAGCAAACAAAACAATTAAAACTGCAGGCTACCAAACTCCTTAGCACTGAACAGCAACTATTTCTTCTATATTTTATGTGATTTACAGAATCAAGCCTATTATGATAATCAAAACAGTTCAGTATGAGTGGGAAGCTGACTGATTAATTCCAACAACAACACAGTACACATAAAAGTCAGAAAATTAGTTGAGGATATTGAGACTCATCACATACAATGAGGCATTTCATCTAGAAAGGCCTTTCCTACTAAAGATTCATAGGAAATTGAAAGAAAGGCCACCAAGGAGAGAAACTTGTTCAAGTACATGATCTTTTCTGGGAGGTTGTTCATTCAATGAACTGCACAGACTGGACCAAGAGAATGACCCAGGAGAGCAGACCAAAAGAGCAGGCCAAGACAGAGGGCAAAGACGGACTTCTGAAGCGTTGCTCTCTGAAACACAGACTAGGCCAAGAACAGTTCTCAAAAACAAAATCAGCTACTTTATAGATTAGACCAAGAGGCAAAGACACTGCTTGCAGCCATTGAAGGATGAGATGGGTGGGTGCCAATGCCAGAATTCAGCCGACAACATAGAAAACCACATGGTGACACCAGAACCAGGAAGATTTGATCATCCTAACCCAGAAGAAGCCACAGTAAATGATTTTCAGTGTAACTTTGTGAGGATGATGAGGAAATGAAAATTCCCTTAAAGATATTTAGGAAAACACAAACAAAAATGGAAAACATCAATAAATCTCTCAAAGAAACCCAAGAAACAAAGAAAAAATAATCAAAGAGGTGAAGCAAAAAACTTAAAAGGCATAAAGACTGGGGCTGGGCAGTGGTGGTGTGCGTGCCTTCATTCCCAGCACTTGGGAGGCAGAGGGAGGTGGATCTCTGTGAGTTTGAGTCCAGCCTGGTCTACAAGGGCTAGTTCCAGGGCAGGCTCCAAAGCTACAGAGAAACCTTGTCAAAAAAAAAAAAAAGACTTGAAGACTGAAATAGAGGCAAAAAAGAAAACACAAATGACGGTAATTCTGTATATGGAAAATCTAGGTAAACAAACAGGAACTACAGCAGGAAGTGTAACCAACAGAATACAAAAGATAGAAGAGAGAATCTCAGGTGATGATGATACTATAGAGGAAAGAGAATAATTGGTGAAAGAAAACAATAACTCCAACAAATACATTACACAAAACATCCTGGAAATCTAGGACATCATGAAAAAAAAATCCAAACCTAAGAATAATAGGGATAGAAGAAAGAGAAGAACACCAACTGAAAGGCACAGAAAATATAGTCAACAAAAAAAATATCTTAGAAGAAAACTTTTCCAACCAAAAGAAGGGTATATCTATAAATGTACAAGAAGCTTAGGGAACACCAGAAAGACTGGACAAAAAAGTCCCCCTAACATATAATGATCAAAATGCAAAACATATAGAATGAAGCGAGAATATTAAGAGCTGCAAAGGACAATGGTTAATTACAATATAAAGGCAGACCTATCAGAGTAACACCCAAATTCTTCATGGAATCTATGAAAGGAAGAAGACCCTGGACAGATGTGCTGAAGACACTAAGAGACTAAGGACTCTACTATGACCAACAAAGCTTTCAAACACCATCAATGGAAAAAACAAGGTATTCCATGAAATCCAGTCATACAGAAAGTACTAGTGGGAAACCCAAGAAAGCTAACTGTAAACACAGGCAACAGATAACTTGACATCACAAACCCAAAGAAGATAAACACACAAACACTACTGCTGAAACATAACAGGAAGTAGAAATCACTGGTCATTTATATCTCTTACTATCAATAGATCCAATTCACTTACAAATTGTCACAAGCTTAGAGAATGGATCCTAAAGCAGGATTCATCCTTTTGCTTTATAGAAGAAATAACCTAAACCTCAAAGACAACATTACTTCAAGGCAGAACCTCGAGGGTTGTGTCCACCCACAGAGACTGTGGAACTGATCTAGTGGATGCTCACCAAGGCCAGCGGGACTGGGTCTGAATGAGCATGTGATTAAACCGGACTCTCTGAAGGTGGCTGACAATGAGGGCAGACTGAGAAGCCAATGATAATGACACTGGATTTTGATTCTACTGCATGTACTGGCTTTTTGGGAACCTAGTCTGTTTGGATGCACATCTTCCAAGGATGGAGGGGGTGCTTGGACTTCCCACAGGGCAGGGCACCCTGACTTCTTTTAGAACTGGAGAGTGAGGGGGAGGGGGAGGAGGGGAGTGGGAGGGAAATGGGAGGATAGGAGGAGGTAGAAATTTTAAATA